TGCTTCTCCACTTCATTCTTCGTAAGAAATCACCACGGCAGAGTTAAAAAAGAATACACGAGACTTTTGGATAATTTTAGAAGGCTTTTAATTATGAATTTTTGTTGACTCTCAAAAAATATTTTTTTCATGACTTTATTTGGAAACTCGGTTGGAGGGGACCATATAATGTAGTCTTACAATTTCTATGATTTTCAGTGCCTGACTCCAATTCATTATATGTGCGGAGACTACTAAAAAATCATGTTTCTAGATGCTTCACTACCAGACCCACATCCTTATCCTCTTATTAAAGGATTGGGAGAGAACACTTATGCTTTTATCGGTCAATATTTTCCGAAGTAGCTGATGTATGCACCTTGACAGCTCTTCACTGTCATATTTGAATAGCTCTTTCGGCAGGAAGTCAGCTTCAGCCGCTTTGTTGTTTTTAAGCGGGTAATCGATATGCGAACATCGTCACAGTCCGATAATGGAACGTCACCATCTTCGGGTGTTTAATTTCCACTACCATTCAGCAGGCTGAAGAAACGTCCCATCTATAAATTCATTATACTCTGGGCATCCGTCGTAGATCACTCCTCTGGGTTCTACAAGGGTCTGCTCGGGTCTTGAAACTTTCAAACCTTTTTTCTTACCACTATAGTACGACATTCTTCATCGTATAAGCTCTTTTCCTGGCACTGCCGAAAAAGCTATTGTTTCCATAGCGGCGGTACGTAGGGAGTTTGAGATGCTGTTCTACAGTTCCCTTATATGAAGTTACTGATGAGTGCTCTCAGAAAGGAGGAGTTACTTGTGTTTGTTGACGGGTGTTCTTTGATACACAGAGATGCGTGCTTATCTTCGCTTTGCCAAGATGTTAAGATTTCGGAACTTACACAAATCTAAACAAATGTGTGCATGCTTTCTGTCAATCACGTCATCAATCTAGGAGAAAGTTTTTCCATCTGGAGACAGCCAAGTAACCTTTTTATTCTGGAATATGGTACAACGGACAACCAAATTTCGGATCCCGTCGTACTCGATCAGCATCAACCCACTCGGGTGTTTCGTCATGGAGGCTGAATTTTCCGACAGTTTAACCGAACATACCTTCTTTGTCCACCCTGGCGCTGCAGTCGCCAAGTACAAATTTGACACCGCCACCTTGTCACGTGGAAGCGTTCATAAGTATGTTCGAGGCGCTCATAAAAGGCATCCTTGGTCACATCGTCCTTCTCTACCATCGGGACATGGGCGTAAGTCAACGTTGTGTTGCCAATACTCGGCGACGGAGTCTCTCTCCCACCACAAATCCGACACTAACTTTACGCTCCTTTATATGACCACTGTATCATTGGAGTTTATTTTTCATGTGGCTGGTCCCTTGCCTCCCAACGGATATTTGTTAGCTACCCAGGTGATACTTGGTCTAAGGCCGGAAGTAATGAGCACGAGCTTGAACCATAGGTACACAAAATCGTTTCTGGCCACACCTAGCTGAATTCCAGTCAGAAACTTTCCGCGTGAACTTTTTCACATGGTCCCATTCCCCCGTTAAGACTTAATTCATCGAAAACAGCTTCCATAAACTTTGCCTTTGGGAGGCCTGTAAACTTTGATATGAAATATTTGAATCCATTTCCATCTATTGGAGATAACTCTCTTTATGTGAAGTGGTGGTGAAAGAACTTTATGAGTTTCATATCTTTTCTTTTCAGACATTAAACTCTCTCGGACGCCAAAATTTTTGTTTGGTCTCTATTATAATCTAGATGTAAAAAGTAAAGAATATGCGTAATTATCGTACTCTTTCCTTCCATGGTCTCTAGGTTTTAATTTTGCAAAAACCAAATCTACTTAAAGCCTCTTTTCGACGGATTTATATGATAATATGCCAGGCCGTGCGGGGTCTTAAATATATTCATCATCCCTTTAATATTATTAGAATAAACCAACTTGTCCTCTTGGGCAAAGTAAAATTCATTTTCCCATTATATCCAAGCCAGAAGAAAGACACTCTTGACTATGGTTCCTGCATTTTAACCTTGAGCCAAGCAACTTGAATGGATTCAAGAATTTTACCAAATTATTTATTCTCAAGAACAGAGGGACTGCTTTGCTTGCAAGCAGGCAGTCATGGCTAAATCAACCCCAAGTATCAGCAAAAATTCTAATTTCGGCGCTAAAGTAAACAAAAAATATTTCCTGATAAGATTCATGTCATTATAAAAGTGAAGTGTAGACGTTATTAAATTTAGATATTGTTCCAAAATTTTGTTGTTTTTTTATTCAGTCTCTTATTATATTAATGATGAATAATGTGGGCAACTGGAACGACTGGTGCGACAACCGACTTCACAACTGGAACATGATGAACAACTGGAGCGGAGTAAGTCTTCACAACTGGAACAACAGGAGCAACAGTCTTGACTACTGGAACTACTGGCGCAGCATGTACGACGGGGGTTGAATAGGTCTTCACAACTGGAACAATAGGAGCAGTATGGACCACCGGAGCCACAGCCTTCACCACAGGTGTGACAATGTGGGCGTTGTTGTGCACTTGAGTGATGCTCTGGTGAGAGACGGCGGAAGGAACGCTGTGCACTACAGCACCTACTTTGGCCACAACGGGTTGTGCAATGAAACCGGGAGCAGCGGTGGCGATAGCGACGAGAGCGGCGAATGTGATCTGTAATTGGGAGGATTTATTAGATTTCCATACAGTTGAAATATTTTTGTATTTCAGTTACTTACGTATTTATACATGTTGCTGTTTAGATCGGTTTTTTGGTGTTGATTGCAGGGAAATCGTTTAGGATCTGTTAACATTTCTAAGCTGGCAGCACAGATTTATATACATTTTTCTGCAAACTGATGACTGAATATTCAACTAGTCATCTAAACTGAGGGAAACTTCTCTGCTATTGTTGTTTTTGCCTTAGGATTTTGCAAAGATCAATAACGCTTGAACGGCCTGCATTGAACTTGAACTTGTTCACGAGGAGAGCATTCGATAGCAGTAACGATAACATATTAGTTTATTAATAAGTATTGTCCAATTCATTATTAGCAATAATCCAATGTGATTGACAGCGCATGCGCTTGGTAGCGAGCTACACCCTTTTCCAAAGCCTATCACACATCCGATAGAAAAAGAGATGAAATAAAAACGTAAAAAAAATATTAAAAAATAAAACTGTTGATACGATAACAAAAAACAAAAAGATTAGACATTGATCGATTACGCACTGAACAAACTCTGGCCGAACTTTTACGGTCTACAAGTTTAGTGTCCGTTTAACTTCCAAAACTGGAATGCTATTTGTAGATTGCGAGGTTCAAATTGACTGTATAACCCTAGTCCTTGGTCAATAAAAATAGCCACAAAGCTTTTGCAAATAAATAAATAAAAAAGATTCATTGAGTTTGTATGTTTGTAAGGTCGTTGAACACTTCTGCTTTTAATTAATTAATTTAAATTGCCGTTACATATTTAAGGTGAACAAAGAAATGATAAATCAACTAATGTTGTCTACACTGTCCTATCAAAGTGTATAATTTTTCTTATTGTTAAAGTGGATATCATTAAAATGTGTTAACAGAAAATTCTGAGTTTATGGCATATTTCTATAAAAAAATTGAAATTAGATAATCACTGAATTAAATAGATGAGCGCTGCAACCGAGTGGATGGTACTATATGAAGGTCCAATATTATTTAAAATATAATTTAGTGAAAAAAAAACATTAAAACCACAATAAAGAAATAGAGTACGACCGAAAGTCGCGCCAGCCGTTTCTTGCCTTCGCCTACCAGCTCCAATTGGGGACACCTAGTGAAACCAGGTTCTTCCACACATGTCATTGATCTTCTGCTTTCCTCAGCGGATACTGGTCAGTCCGTGCGGGCGACATGATTTAGCCAGCACAGCCGTCATATCTTAATTCACTGGACTATGGCAATATCGCCGTATATCTCATAGAGTTCATCGTTCCATCATCTGTCATTCGCCGTGGCTCATATGTGGAGGACCATAAAACGTTCACAAAACCTTACGCTTGAAAACTCCACATGCCATCTCATCGTACAATATTTCGACATCGCCCACACTTCTGCATCACATAGTTCCCGTTCCGCTATGTTAAGGGACTTGTAGAGCTTAGCACTTGTTCTTTGTAGGATTTCAAGCAGTTGTGAATTTTTGGTGTTGTTGATGGTGGTTGTTCGCTAGATCAAATCATCTACAACTTTCAACTGATGGATTTTTAAATTGAACAGAGCTGACTTAGATTCCAAACGTCAGGTTTGCACACATCCAACCGATTTTTCCAAAAGAACTGAAGTAAGTACTTTGTCAGTTCTTCGGCACCTTATTTGAATAGCCCAGTCGGTAAACCATGGGTTTCGCAGCTCTGTGGTTCTGGAGCTTCCTTCGAAATGAAGCTGGTAACATCATTACTGTCAAAGAAGAGCGGTATAGATCGGCAATAACCAACTTTTTATGCCCACAATTGGAAAAAGTTGACCTTAACACCAACTGGTTTCAACAAGATGGCGCTAAGCGTCAAAAGCGCCACGCGTGACTAACAGGCAAATTCTCTGTTGACCAGTGTAATTCACAATTCAAATCGTACCAAGAGCAGCCAGTGTTGCATAATAAGGGTCATTATTTAGGGGCTCGTTGACTGCACTTATATACTTTATTCTTTATTTTGCATTGAACAACAAAAAATATTTGGATTTACTGATTTTTCGATATGAGATTTCGAAGCAAAACTACTCCAAATAATCAGCTTAGAGACGAAAAATGCCACTCTGCATACAACAATCAATAGAAGCTTCAAAAACATTATAAGACCCGCACTTATGTATGTGTTTATACAATATATGTATATATGTAAGAGTAACCAATGGCAATTGTATGTGAGTGAGACAATGTCAAGTGCTGACTAACAACTGATTGAGTATATAAAGGTGACGCGGTGTGCAGAATGCTATCAGTCTCACTTTACTTGCATTCACAGCAGCAAACCAGTCAAACATCCAAACAAACCAAAATGTTCAAATATGTAAGTATTTCAAATTTTGTTTTCAATTAGACGCTGAATTACTACATATACATAATATTGCCCTTTATCCTTTTCACAGTTCGCCTTCTTCGCACTTCTCGCTGTCGCTGCTGCCAAGCCCGGTCTGCTTGCTGAAACACATACCGTCGTCCAGCCGGCAGTGGTTGCCAAAACTGCTTATGTCGATACCAGTGCCTCCTCGGCTATCACTCACCAGAGTCATGTGAACTTGGTCAGGAAGGTGCCAGTGGTTCCAGTCGTCCATGCTGCTCCCGTCGTACACGCTGCCCCTATTGTGAAGACTATTTCCACCCCAGTTGTGCACTCCGCGCCAATTGTACATGCCGCTCCAGTGGTTCACTCTGCACCCTTGGTTCATGCTGCTCCAGTTTTGCATGCCGCTCCAGTAGTACACTCCGCACCTCTTTTGCCTGTAGTGCACTCAGCTCCTCTGGTAAAAACAGTTGTGTCAGCTCCAGTGGCTTACAGCATCCACCACTAATTGCTGTCATAAATATTTCTTTATTTGGAAAATGGAAAATTTGAAATTGAAAGATTTGAATAAAACGAGATTAACAGCAATAAATGTTAATAAACAAATTGAGTATGAGTTGAGAATGAGTTCTAAACTATTGTTTCAAATATAAAGTATTTCGAAGATATATGAACTTGCAAAACTACGGAGGGAGAAGTCAAAAAAAAAAAAAAATTATAAGAAATCTCTATTCGTGTGGATAACCTGGACAAAGTATTTTTATATAATATAATTATAACTTACGGTATTTTCCAACAAATGGAGAGATCTACAGTTTATACTAAACTGCCTATGAAGAGCTAATGGATTTTAGAAGAAACTTTTACTGCATGCCAGAAGTACAATCGGAGGGTTTGATTTTCCCTTCCGAGGGGCGACCGCAATTGGGAAATTTTATTTTTTATAATTTTGTATGTTTAGTCAGACCTACATAAAGCAAATAATTCAACTTAATCAGAAAATTAACTAAATTAAATAAACATTTTAGAGAACTTGAAATTATTTTTGGTGTTTTTTGAGATCATTTTCTATTGGATTATATAATTTTGTTTGAGCTGACTTAGCTACTATTTAAGAGTTCCCCACATTTTCTTCATTAGACTTCTTCGAATTGGATTTGAATTTGAGATGACCGCAGTACGAACCACTGGTAATGCCGTTAGGACAAGTGTACGCCAGGTATTTGAGACATATCGCGAAAAATGGGCGGATTTATAGAGTCAGGCTTAACTCAACTGAGCGCCTGGGAAATAAACGCCAGCTTATAACCTATTAAAAATATTTTTATTATAATGGACTTATTATTATGTGTCCCACTCTATTCTCGAGTCCTGGTTCGACCAACAACAAAAATTTCAGAAAATTATTCTTCCTGTTGCGGTCGCCGCTCGGTACAGAATATCAAGCCAGTGTATTTCTGATATGAAATAAAAGTTGTCATAGAAGTTCCTCGGTCGTTGTTCAAAGGCGGTTTAGAATAAACTTTAGGTTTCTACCTTTTTTGGAAAAACATTAAGATGCACACCACAAGTCTACTGAAAATTATTTCATCCAACTATCACTATTGTGATACCTTAGTCTATTTCGCCTCTGTGCAGAGCATCAAAACTCTTTAGTTCACCCAGATAATAATCGAAAAACTGGATTTTTGAAAAATATTATCCCGCTGAGTAACCTCTTAAAAAATGTGTTTTTTTTTTAAATCTTTTTTATACGTTGACTTCATTCGCTCAAACTTAATTTTTGGAAACAGATAGTAGACACTCGGGACCAGGTCTGGGCATGGAATCTTATTTTGACTCAGGTTTATACTATTTATGTCTCTTCATTACAGAAATCCAAAAATGCATATCAGCGTTTTCTGTACTATTGTTTTTTGCGCCGGCATAATCATTCGCGCCACCCGTCTTGCGCTGACCTTAGTCAGCCGGTTGTATCGGCAACCATTTCTGCGAATTATTATTTTTTATTGTCGAGAAAAGTTGGGAGCATTTGTCAATCTTTTTTGATAAGTTCTAAAGTCGTCACTTCGGGTCGTCGCCACACATCGTTTCCCTGGAAAATACAGCCGTAAACCAATGATATCTCATTTCTTATTGTGGCAAATGATTTCTTTGCTTGGTTAAAGACAGCTTAAAGACGAATTGTCTAATAACAATGAAATCTATTTTAATAAAACCCAACGAATACGCTCCACCCGCCTAACCGACACGAGCGACGCCATTCGCATAACTTTCAGAATTTACCGAGTCATAATGGGCAAGAGTTTTTTAAAAGTCGAGATTTAAAATTATTCAGCTACAGATTTTTTTTTTACACCTCAATCAAGAAATAAAGGAATCTAAAAATTTATCTGTTGAGAGATGCCAGAATAGTCTTTTTTATTAATTATTCAAGAATAGGTAGAGCTGGAAGCTTTGAACGGCTAGTATAGACAAGAAGATTTATCAAAGAGTCAGCCCCATAGTTAATATCTTAATGCAAAAAGGAAAAATTGTTTCTGTTTTGAAGAGACACTAGCTTATCGGAAAGAACTTGATCATTAGCGTTTCATATATGTAAAAGAGAGAGCTATACTAATAAGTGTCTTTAAATTCTTTTGACCGTCTTTTTCTGTTAAGACTGTGCCATTAATATTTAGATGGAAGCAGGGCTTAGGGTCTATCATACCCCGAAATCAACAACTTTATACTAATTATGAGTTACTGAACATGTTATAATACTAATTTGCCTAATAGTCCCCATAGAACCAAATAATTCCACGATCAAACGATAGCACTACTCGTATTCCTGTAACGAGTTTTTTTTTAGCAATTCCCACGAGAAACTTCTTAAAATCGTCTTTGTTTTCTTCTTTATCTCCTTCTCAATGAATCGAAGGTTTCCACGACTTTACTAAAGCTTAGTGACGACCTTACCGATTTGGGAAGCTGGAGAAAGGGAAACGGCGTTAACTTGAATACAAACTTCAGACATAAAATCCAACGCAAAATCTTCCTTACTATGAGTACTTTGGACTGGGTCGGCAATTGAAAAGTAAAGTCTTTTTTTAAGGTACATACGACAAGTCTTTTCTTCTTGCTTGCTGGCAACCTACCAAGCAATTGGCCGGCCGATCGTTAACTATGCTGCACCGATCTGAACACCGGGTATGAACGAGACGCAGGTGAAGCAGCTACAGGTTTGCCAAAACAACGACCTTAGGACCGCGACAGGAAACCTTTTGATGTCGCCGGAGCATCACTTGCATAGGGAAATATCTGTGCTACGAGTTAAGGAGGATAATACTTTGCTATGCAAGCAAACCCTATTGGGATGCTAGAACTAGGAGCACCCTAATATACAGGCCGTAAAACACCCTAACATACCCTCCACCCAGGCATATCAGAAAAGGACTACTAGATTTAATGGACACTATGCAGCAATACGTTCAACAACTGGACAGGACGGCGTACATATAGGCACTGAACGCCACTCAACAGGAGCCAGTTAATACCTCCAAGAACTCTCTTCCTGAGAACGGCGTACTTGGAGTTAAAGCTCCACCTATAGAAGACGAAGAGCTTGACCTGCCTCGAGGTACCTGGGTAATACTGGATCTTAGGTAGGGATACTGTATACCCAACGTATGTCGTGCATGTCGTTTTCCTGACCTCGGTAATGGGACTAACTAGCCTATCTCTAACCGGAAAACCTTGGAAATTTCAAGAAAAAGTTCGCAAACGCTGAAACGAAGATCAGTACGAGATATCCGGCTGCCATAAAAGATGTAATTGGATCCTGAGTTTGAACCATGATAGTACGATTTAATGACTAGTAGCACTGTTACTTTCTCTGCTATAGCGCTCGCCACACATACATGCTTAAAAAAAGTTTGCAAATCAAAAACAAAAACACAAACCAATCAGATCATCGATCCAATTTATCTTATTGCCAGCAAAAAAAAACAAAAACCAAAAAAAATTACGACAAACTAAAAGTACAAGTGAATGGATTACAGCAACTTCTTCTGCGAGTGTAAAAAGTAAATAAGTGAAAAAGAGTACGACAATAACAAAAGAAGCATTAAGATAAACTCAAAACAGCAGCCCGTAAAGAAAGATTAATATCATCTGGGTTACCGTTTGATGTTGCATTCACCGGCGGAGGGAGGTGAGTCTCTGGCGTCAGTTGCAGTTGTCAAAATTATAGGTTAAGTGCTTTAGGGCAACCTTGACATAGGGACCTACCTACCTACATACACACATACGCACACACACACAAACGTGAGGCATCATCAACGCTAAGGTTTCTTTTTTAAGTTTTTATTGCTGCCTTTTTGTATTTCTTACTTTTGGCAGCCGTGGTAAGTTGATGGATGCACGCATTTACAGGTACCAACTCGAATTTGAAGTAAATTTAATTGTCTTACTTTTATTTAAATGTAATTATTTTTATGCTTTATTTGTACATTGACCGTGAATCATTCAATTGGTTTTGCTGCAAGTCTTTGCGGTGCAACATTAAATTGTTTATTATGATATTTCAACTCACATATATTTTTACGGTTTTCAAGTGCAACGAGATCATACTTGAAGGGCATGAGCATAAGCTGCCAACACAAATAAAGTACAAATTGCATCGTATTATTCTTATTATTGTGTATACATAATTTTCCCTAAATATGATGAAGGCATTTTTATAACACAAAAGAAAGGGCAATAAGTGGAAACGTAAAAGTTTGTTATTAAATTGAGGATGAATTGTGGGCCCCAAAGAGGCGATTAGGTGCCAACCGACAGCAAAGAAAAAATTCGCTATATTTTACAATTTTTTTTTCGATCAAGGCGAAAAAGCAGCCAAAGCGGCTGCAAAAATTAATTTAGTTTATGGGTCCGATACTGTAAACGAACGTGTAGCACAAAACTGGGTTGCTAGGTTCCGTTCCGGTAATTTCGATGTCAAAGATGCAGCACGCGTCGGGAGGCCTGTCGTCGAAAATCGCGATAAAATCATGGAAATAGTGGAGACAGACCTTCACGTGAGCACTAATTTAATTGCTGACGAACTAAAGATAAGCCAGAAAACCGTTTGGAACCATCTACATAACCTTGGATTCAAAAAGAAGCTCGATGTTTGGATGCCACATGCACTAACGCAAAGAAAATGATGAACCGAATTTCCATCGACGAATCGCTGCTGAATCACAAATAAAGTGACCCGTTTAAGAAACAGACTGTGACTGGCGATGAAAAATGGGTCACTTGCGACAACATCGAGTGCAAACGGTCATGGTCAAAGCTCGGGAAGCGGCCCAGACCGTGGCCAAGGCTGCGCTCATCTAGAACAGGCCATCTTTGATCAACAGAGGCCGAATTCGGCTTCAACAGGGCAACGCCAGGCCACATATGTCTTTGGTGACGCACCAGAAGCTCCAGAAGTTTGGATGAGAGGTCCTAATGTACCCATCTTATAGTTCAGACTTGGCA